TTTTTTTTTTCAAACGACATGATCACTCATATATTGCCAAAATAAATGGAATGTACACAGGTACAACCCGAATTCGCAATCACTAAGAGGACATGTACGCTAAATTGAGCGAGTAGAGATTTTTTTTTTCAAACGACATGATCACTCATATATTGCCAAAATAAATGGAATGTACACGGTTACAACTCGAATTCGCAAGCACTGAGAGGACAAGTACACTGCGTACAACCTAACCGAAACACTAGCCATCAAACCAACATCACAACTACCTCAGACCATCAGTTACAATACAACCAGCTCTAATACAATCAACACATAACAAATATAGAAAGAGAGGCACACCAATGACACGAGACCTAGTGGACACTCTTCTACAACTGCTGCTTCATTCTATTGAGAGAAAAATCAAGCCAGTCCTGCATAGCTGCTCTTACTATCCAAGCCTCATACTGCCATTGCCTCTCAAACACCCACAGATTCCTCGCACGCCAGAGCCACCAAAGTATAAATAGAAAGTTGGATGCATTCTTCATATATATCCTGCTTCTTCATAGAACTAATCCACCACCACCATTCCTTGAAGTTCATTTGCTCTTCCATGACTCTGTTCCATTGGACAGGAGAAAGTTTCCATGTGATTTGAGCTCTTTTACACAGGAATAAGGCATGTTCGTAAGTCTCTTCTTCTTCTCCGCAAACATGGCATAAGCTTTCAATCTTCAGTCCCCTGCCAATTATGTTTCAGTTCATAGGTAGAAAACACCTCCACATGAAATGTTTTATTTGGCCCATGACTTGGAGCTACCAGTATCTGAGCCTTACTCTTCTGTTTCCCCCTGCCAACACACTTGTCTCAGCCTGGTTCTTCCCACATACCTTTTCTTTCATCAACAATGTATAAGTAGCTTTAACAGAGAATGATCCCTTAGACTGGAATGAGCAGTTTCATTGGTCACCAGCTCTAGGATTTAGAGATTTTATCTGTAAGATTTTCATCGCATCTGCTTCCTCAAAACACCTGTAACCAACAGATCCTTCACATAGAATAAATGCCCCTCAATGTGCACTCTAAGATTTGGGTTTACCACCCTGAATCCCAGGAACCCAGTTGTAGTCATTAAGCTTAGTGTTGCCTCTATTTCTAACAATGATGCTCTGATGGTTTCTCAGAATAAAAGAAGCCCAGGAGTTCCAAAGCCAAGAAGCACCATTAGTTTCTCAACTTCAAACAGTGAATGCTTGGGGAAGTATTTACTCTTCAAAACTCAGCTAACCAAAAGGTATGCTTAAGGATGAGAGCTGAGTTGAACAGTCTGATATCTTGAAACAATAGTAGTTTGATAGAAAGAAAAAAAAAACAGAACAATAGTCAGAAATAGCCAAGCAGCCACCTAGCTGAATCTAGTAAGAGAGGATAACCCAAAGGGCAGCCTAGACACCACAATGCGCTCTCGGGAAAAAAATCCCAACGGGGTAAAAGACAAATGCAGCTCTCAATAAGAAAATATACAACCCCCAAAGGAAGATTCAACACAACTCTCAACGGGAGAAACAACATACAAACCACCATAAGACAAAAATATAAACAAAACAAAACCCACAACACCTAAAACAACAAAAACACGGAATAATAGACACAAAAAAAAATTAAACGAGCCCTCCCAATAGCCAGCCATTGCCCACAAAACACCACGCGAGATGAGGGACGACGACGACAACTCCAAGGCAGGCCAAAGCTCAGGATGACCTATCCACTCCCTTCACCCCAAGATGTCAGGGTAACATAGATCCACCCAAAACGAGCCGAAAATCACCACAATCCAGCCCTCGAAACCACCGAAAAGCACTAGTCGGACGGACAACCCCGTCCCAAACCCCAAGAGACGAGGAAAATCAGGGGGAGAAGACATCATCAGCATCAATCCAACCAACCGGAGGCCTGACGGACTGGACCCGTCGCTCCGCTTACCCCACCAGAGAGCTGCCTTGAAGAACCACCACAGCCGCCCAATTTGAGGGGAAGCGCCGCGCCCGAGCAGATAAACTTAATAGAGGAGAGAGGGACGGAGTCCACGCTCGGGCCGGTTGATACGGAAGTGCTTATTAACCCCGGTGAGTCAAGTGATGGGATGGTTGAAGATCTCAATGTTTGGTTGGAAAACATGCTGGAGGAGCCATCTAGTCCGATTTATCGACCTTCATGTGTGAGAGATTGGCCAAAAGGATGTGGTCCAAAGTTGAAGATGAAGGCTAGGAAGCGCAAGGCTAAGCAAGCTCGAAGACGACGGAAGACAAAAGCTAAGAGGGCGAGTCATTGTTGTGGGCCTTGTGCGAGGAAGAAACGAGTTTGGAAGATGGAGGCTCGAAGACGAGGTAAGGATGGAGGACGGTTGGATATGGCATGTGGAGAATTGATGAGTGAATAGAAAAGGGGAACGTTGTGTTCTACGTGTGTATAAGCAAGGCCGTAGTGCGTGTTTATCATACTATCGTATCAGAGAGAAGGCCATTAGAGCGTCTTGAAGTCACAGTGTCTAAGAGAAGACCCTGAGTGCGTCTGTTAGTCACACCTATCGTGTTTAGTCGAAGGCCCTGAGTGCGCGATTATTCACACCAAATAGACAAGAACAGCGATGACACTCTCGATCACTCATCATTGGTGCTTTCATTGAGAGGATTTCATTGAGAGAGGTGCTGATCAAAGTTTTTGTCTATCTATCTTTTTCTTTTTTTCGGTTTCCTTTTGCTGAGGGCCGAAATTTTTCTTGTTTTGGTTCGAATTTTTATTCGAATTTTTCTTTTCTTCGAATTTTTTTTCGTGAGTTTGTCGAGTCAAAAAAAAAGTGTCATCCTAGTTGTCTTGTTTGATTTTATTTTAGAGTCTTAAAAAAAATGATGAGAGACATGAGGTTCGAACCATTAGATGAGTTGGATTTGGAGGATCTTGAGTATCTCGAAGGTTTGGAGAGGGAGTTAACTGCATGGGAGCAAAAATTTTTGGAGGAGCTTCACGAACGAAGAGATTGGGAGGAGCGCCAACGTCAACTCGTGGAAGCAAGGGAAGAGGAAGTGGCCAACGTTCAAAACAATGAAGATGAAGATACGCTGAATTTCATTATCCTTGAGGACAAGGAAAGTCTTGAAGAGGAGGGGAATGATACGGAAGTGGTTACTAACCCCGGTGAGTCAAGTAATGGGATGGTTGAAGATCTCGATGTTTGGTTGGAAAACATGCTGGAGGAGCCATCTAGTTTGATTTATCGACCTTCATGTGTGAGAGATTGGCCAAAAAGATGTGGTCTAAAGTTGAAGATAAAGGCTAGGAAGCGCAAGGCTAAGCAAGATCGAAGACGACGGAAGGCAAAAGCTAAGAGGGCGAGTCATTGTTGTGGGCCTTGTGTGAGGAAGAAACGAGTTTGGAAGATGGAGGCTCGAAGGCGAGGTAAGGATGAGGACGGTTGGATATGGCGTGTGGAGAATTGATGAGTGAATAAAAAAGGGGAACGTTGTGTTCTACGTGTGTATAAGCAAGGCCGTAGTGCGTGTTTATCATACTATCGTGTCAGAGAGAAGGCCATTAGAGCGTCTTGAAGTCACAGTGTCTAAGAGAAGGCCCTGAGTGTGTCTGTTAGTCACACCTATCGTGTTTAGTCGAAGGCCCTGAGTGCGCGATTATTCACACCAAATAGACAAGAACCGCGATCACACTCTCGATCACTCATCACCGGTCATCTCCGCGAGCCCATAGCCAAAGTAGCAAGAGTTGTTCATATCTACCCTCTCTGTTCGACAAATAAATTGTAGAGAATCTCAATTTAACCCAAACATCTCTTAGTTTGCAATTTACCCTCTCTCTATCGTCCACCTTTACTAACATCCGGGTATCAACTCATAACCGCCATGAATTTTTTGACATGGCATTCGAAAGATCGAGCGCGGATTGAGATAATCACTTCATTCACAAG